ATCTCCAGCCCTCAGCCTCTGCTGGGGTCAGGACTGCTGTCTGCCAAACCCTTACCATGGCCAGGCAGCCTGCTTGGCGCTTTGCAAGTAGAATCTAGTCAGCATCCCTAGCAGCTACGTGCTATTTTTATCTCCATTTTCAAATTAAGAAACGGGGCCTCAGAGAGGGTGAGGTGACTTGTTAAATGGAACATAGCTAATGAGAACTTGAGCCCAGTTCTGCCTAATTCTAAAGCCCGGGCTTCTCCTCGCTGTACAGCTCTGCCAGTGTTATGTTCCTTTTGTTTTATGGACACACACAATCATTATTTGCATGTCACCTTGTATTAATTTGTCCTGTGCACTAGCAGTGACTAGAAGGCAAGAAATTGTAGCACACTATCCTTTGTGGCCCAGACTTCTCATGGTGTCCTCTACTCTGAGGCGAGGCCCAAATTAGACAGCAAGCGAGCTGAGAGGGGGAGGGAGAGGTCTGTCCACATGGGCAGGGTCTATACTGTTGCTTCCCTTCAGGTGGATAATCCAGAGTGATCTTAGGGACCGTGCTGATTGTGTGCTCTGTTCCCCTTGTCTGCACAGAGAGACTCTTTTCTTCTGGTCCCAGAATTCTCTGCACTCACTTGATGCATGTTCATATTTTACAGATGATACCACAGGGATACATTCGGTTTATACTGTATACCAAGGCCACGAGATCATGTTCCACGTCTCCACCATGCTGCCATATTCCAAAGAGAACAAGCAGCAGGTACATGTGAACACACAATCTGAGGATGCAGACCCTCAAATAATGACTGACTGCAGAAAGCACCGTCTCATTTCATAGAGTTAAGAGATGTAGATACTCACAGCAGAGCTGGACTTCAGGCACCAGTTCAGGGTGCTGTTTGCAGTCTCTTTACTTGAACTTTCCACAAGCCTTAGGGACATCTATCCTCACTGACACCACCCTGTAAAGTAATAAAGGGTCAGAGGTAACAGTGCACGTGCGTGTCTGTGTGTGAGCATGTGTGTATCTGCGTGTGTGAACTGTTTCACGGACTCCTGAGAGACTGTTCTGCATATACGCTGCCTTTTCTCTGTGACTTCTCTCAGTGGGCCTTGTGTCTTGTCCAGGACATAAAATAAGTGCATTCTGAGTGGTGGTTGACAAGTGTTTTTCAGATTAACACAGGAGGTTAGCGCTGTCTGCTTGGGCTGGGCCATGCTGGGAAAACTCTTCCTGAGACACTCCTCACTCCCCCCGGGAATGGCCATTTTCAAGAGGAAAAGTTCCAATTTGCAAAGACATGTGCTGCTGGTTTTGAAGGATTGATGGGGGGGGGGGGTGTCATTTAACTTTTTATTAGATTCTTATTTATTTTTTACACATTGAAGGCATCTGTATGAAGAAATATCACAAACATGAATGCACAGTTGTTCAGCAAAGATTTGTGAGAAACAGGGTATGTGAGGGCTAAAAAGGATTTTTTTCTGAGCATTACAATTCTTATTTCACTTCAGTGGGAGCAGACATGGCAGGTCAGTGGGTGGAAATGTGGTGTGACAGTCGTGGAATAGAAACAAAGGTGCTCTGGCACATGCGGAAGGGGCAGGAAGGGTTGGTTCTGTTTGATGGTTTGGGGCCTGGGATAGGAGCTGGTGGATTGTCTTACAGGCAGTGGAGACCCTCTGGAGCTTTTAGCTTGTTCTGGCTTCAGGAGGCTAGCTCTAGGAGGGGACAGGTGAAGCAGGAAGTGCCCGGGCCTGGGCAGACGGCTTCAGTGGCCAAGAGTCACTTCCTGCAAGGCATCCTCCTTTGTGTGACTGAGGAGATGATGAATGAAGATGATCATGATCAGAAAAGTAAAATGGGAGAGAATGGAGACAAGGAGGCTGGTTAGGAAGCTTCTGCTGATAGTAGACGAGGACATGAGGCCTGAACTGGGAAGGGAGTGGCAGAGATGGACAGTGGAGCCAGGAGATGGCTGGTAAAATATGGGACACAAGAGGTCAAAGACAGCTGAAGTTTGGGCTCTGTGATCGTTGTGGTTGGTCATACTGTTGTTAGTTTTCTTTAAGTCTGAGCTGTGTTTGAACGACCTTCTCAGTGATGTTATTTATGCTCACATCCAGGTGGAAAGGAAGCGCCACATCGGGAACGATATCGTCACCATTGTGTTCCAGGAAGGAGAGGAGCCCTCTCCTGCCTTTAAGCCTTCCATGATCCGCTCCCACTTTACACGTATCCTGGCCTTTGTGAGCGCTCCAACTCAGCGGCTATTGGTCAGCCTCGTGGGACAGAAATGACCCTCCCACCAGGTGTTATAATTAACTTGCAAGTTATAACTGTTTTGCATTGCTACATTCTTAAACCCACTGTTTGGGATTTTTCCCTCAGCATTGCTCCCTTTTTTCTCTCCATCCATTGGAGTAATGGATGGTTAATTCCAAGATAATCCTTGACTTCTAAAATCTCTTCCCTTTCCTCAGGTAATTTGTGAAATGAAGGAAACTTCCTACTGTCTATCGATAAAAAATAAATTAGAAGAATTATAGCAAATCCTCCAAGAAATTTGCTTTAAGTATAAAAACTTGCAAGTGAAGATAAAAAGCCAAAATAGTGTTTCTTTGTTGATTCTAAGCCCCAGTAATAGCTGCGACATTATCATCTCTTAACATTTGAGAAATGAGAGAATTCACTTTTATTTGCTTCCCCTTTGCTTCCTCTAATTTCTGTTTAGCTCATGTTACTTGCAAAGTCCTACTGAAGTTCTCTGTGATGTCCAAGCTCAGCTCAGTCAGACAGGCATGGATCACAGGCCATAACAGTGAGGCCCGAAGGTGGCACCTCTACAGGTTGTACATAATTAGTAAAAGGCAACTAATAGGCATTTAAGCGACTGAGGGGTATTCATTCTTTTTAGAATTTTCTTTAGTTGCACATTTTGCTTTGGGGCACATTTGTGTCTGGAAGGGGACAAGCAGGTAGTTGGCAGATCTCTTCCACTGAGTCGAGATGTGGAAACACTCTGAGGCATTGATGGCCATTTAGCCTGAGCTGAGGAAAGCTGGGGCTGGGCAAGGGCTGGGAGGAGAAGTGGGAGAAAGAAAGGGAAGCTGCCTGGAAGTTTGGTACTATTTTAGTTCAGCATGCTCGACGCAAGCCAAGTAGAGGCTCCCCAGAGGCTGCCACCAGCTACATGGGTTTGTTTTGGTTTGTTTAGTCTACCAAAGCCAGAAGGAGAGAGCAGGAAGGTGTGTGTACAGTGGGAACATTTGAATTTTCTTTTCAAAACTTGTAAGACGGAATCTGTGACTAGTTTCCCAATGGGATCTTTGCATTTCCAGGCAACAGAATTGCTTGTTTTGCTTTGTTGGCTTCCTCATTGCTCAGCAGCTTTATTTCTGTTGCTTTTCTGAGGCATTGGAGACTTCGCTCTTTCCCCAAAGAATGAACACATGGAGGTTGAACCTATGTCTTCCTGGGCTGTCCCTTTCAAAGAAGTCAAGGTTCCATCTCAACCTGAGGGTGACAGGTGCCCTGACCATAAAGGGCAGGTCTGGGATGATTCCGCACCAGGGGTTTTCAAAGCACAAACCTATGACTGTGAGCATTGGGGTTATTGATTAATTTCTTTAACCATCTCCACAGATATTTTTGCCTTAGTGAGGTATGAGCAGCAAAATGACAATTACAGGTAGGTACTGACTTTGTTGTTGATTGCTTATTCTAATCCTCATTTTCACTTGTTAATTTCACGTTCATTTTATAAGACCCTTGATACAGATACTTCTTGATTGATCCAATGTGTCCTCACCTTAGGGAACTTTCTTCAAGGCCACCATCTCTGGGAAAAACTCGTTCCATATAGTGTTGCTCTGTGCAGTAGATCCAGCGGCAGGGTAGTCTGGAATTTTATTGTACTCTACAATGGGCACAAATTTGATATATTTTATCTTGACCAGAATATCCCCTTTCCTAGGCTACATCGTTCTGGTCTCAAAAAACTATCTGTTAAGTGTATTATGGTATGAAAAGAACATGGACTTTTTTTAAATTTATCTTTATTTTTGAAAGTATTATAGATGTCCCCTTTTGTTTTTCCCTAGTGATCCCCTCCACACTGCATCCGCCACCACCGCCCTCCACCCAGGCCTTCACCATACTATTGTCTGTGTCCACGGGTTATCCATATATGCATATAAGTTCTTTGATTAATCTCTCCCCACCCACTCCCCCACCCCGCCTTCCCTCTGAGATTCGCCAGTCTAAGAATGTGAACTTTGAGCCAAGTAGATTTGAGTTGGAATCTCAGCTCTGTCACCTATTAACTTTGAGGCTTTGTTTATCGTCTGGAGCCTCAGGTAATGATAGAGTGAGGTAATGATACTACCTTGGCAGGTTGGTGAGAATCCATTGATGTTGTGTCTTAAAATACCAAGTATGCTATCCGGTATGCAGTGAGTGCTCAGTGGCGGCCTTTGCTGTTATTCCTGGGGTTCCTGACCTTGCCCATGGCTGGTGGGTTGGATCACAAAGGATACAGGAAGAGCTGGCCTCTGCCCTTAGAAAGCTGCATGGTGACCCAGGCTCTGGCAGCCCATAGGAAGGGACCTCCCGTGCAATGAATATTCCTGACATATCATGTGGGCATCTGGACAAATTTAAAGTCCAGATATTGGTGATCTCTGAAGAAAAAGCAAGTAATCCTGAAATGTTCTCTATGTAGGCTGAAAATATTTTCGGAAGAAAGCGTGCCACTCTTTGGCCCACCCTTGCCATCCCCTCCGGTGTTTACAGACCACCAGGAATTCAGGGACTTTTTGCTAGTGAAATGTAAGTTCTGTTTTGAAATGTTTTTGCAACTTGTTCTATGTCAGAAGACACTTCTTCAGATTCTCCCAGGATGCTGTATAAGAAAGTGTGTTGTTTAGGCATTGATTCCATTCCATGTTCTGTTCATTCATTCTTCACGTGAAACATATTTAGTTTTCTCATGGTGTTGCGTAGCTTCCTCCATGTCCTCATCTGCTCCTACCCTCCTGCTCGCCTTCAAGGGTCTTGAAGCCTGGGGTTCGGGGGGTGAGCATGTTTGTAGAGCGCCGCCTCAGGGAGAGAAAGGCATGTAGTCCTTTCACCATGGATTAGGTTAGATTGTTCAGCAACACTAAGGACCCAAGTTATCCGTGGAATCCATTGATTTAAATGGAGCCAGTCAGCAGGGAGACTTTCTTCAGCACCTCAGAGGCTTGGGGTGGAAGGGCTTGAAGGATTCAGTTGAAGATTTGCAAAGTGGACACAGTGGAAGAACAGAGGTCAATGATGAAAAGGGTGCATTGAAGTCACAGAAGATAGAGCCAGGGAGGACCAGGAGGGGCTGATGGACTAAGGAAAGGTAGAAGCTAGGACCGAAGTCTCTGAATCCCAAAGTGGATTTATTAGGAGGGAGGAAGTGGGCCAGGTGGAAAACTCCAAGATAACAGGGAGTGGCATTTCAGCAAAAAATTGGAACTTTTCTCTTTATTCAGCAAAACGAGTCACTTAAAATGGATATTTCTGGGATATTAAGGAGGAAATATCCTCAAACAAAAAATTCCCAATCACAGAATTAGAGGAAATACTAGATGTTCATAGTTTAAATTGCTTAAGAGACGTCCTGCCAACAAACAGAACCCGCTTGTTTCCAGCACGCAGATCTTACCCAGGGAAAGCCTGTCCCCAGGGAATGTTTCCAGTCTGTGAACGCTGTCCTTCCTTTGTCCCTCCGTATAAGGATAATAATTATTAATAATAGCTCATTTATTCAGTTTGATGTCCCTAGCACAGTGCTAACTCTTTATATATATTATATCACTTACAAATTTACAACCGCCCTTACAAAGAAATACAGTTATATCCATTTTACAAGAAGCTAAATAGTTTGCTTGAGAAGTACAGATAGCAGCACAGCTGGGATTCAAACCATAGCTGCCTAACTTCAGGCTCCTTGCCTCCATTCACACTCTCTGTCCTGTGCGCTAACGTGACAGGACGGTCCACTCTATTGACTCTTAGTGGCTAGTCCACTAAACCACTAGCTTTTTTCCCCAGAAGAAACTTCCATTAGTCTAAGAAGCTGAGTACTCAGTCAATTTGGTTTTTTCCCTAACAAAAATGTAGCAAATATATATATATTTAATCCCATTGAGTGGCATCCTAGTAGTTTGGCCCCTGTGTTGGGTGAGTAGGTGGGTGGGTGGGTGGATGGATGGATGGATGGATGGATGGATGGATGGATGGATGGATGGATGGATGATGGAATGGGTGGGATGGTTTGTATAAAGAAAGCTAGAGAGTTTTTACATGTGCTTCTGTGAAGGAATTACCAGTGGTAATACCGGTATTAGGAAAGTGGATGGCATTCACTATGAGGCGTTTCCTTGAGAAGTACATTCCTCCATAGCATGTTTACATTTGTAACTCCCTTTACAACTTGGTTTATTTTAGTAATTAATGGTGAAAAAGCCACTTTGGAAACTCCAACCTTTGCCCAAAAGCGTCGACGCACTCTGGATATGTTGATTCGATCTTTACATCAGGATTTGATGCCAGATTTGCATAAGGTAACCTGGGTTCATGGTCCTCTTTCCTTCTGTGGGGGTCGAGGTGTGAGCTGAGAACACAAGTCCTAGTGATGAGTCCTGGTTAGATGAGGAGAGGAGTCACCTAGATTCTTGCTGTCGAGACAGGCCTGTGGCCACCGTGGCTGGTGTCCTCTCATTGTTCCCATGACAAAGAGAGACGTTGATTATCCGTACATGGAAACTTGGCTTTCATAAAGCCAAGCCTGTGGAAATAGAGGTGCAGGCTGGGATAGGTGTGTCTCACAACGGTGATCCCTGGAGCGTTGGAGAGTGCTTTTTGGGGGTGGCTGCCCTTGGTGTCATTACATTCCCAGTGCCATAGAGCTGGGAGACAGGTGGAAGCAGGGACCGTGGAGAGAGACTGGGTGCTTTTTAAGGTTTTCTGGAGCTGCTGGGGTGCTTGATTTTAAAGCCCTTGCCCTCAGCCATCACACATGCTGGCTCTCCAGCTGTCGGCTCCCTCAGGCCTGGCATCTAGCACAGGCCCTGCCCGTAGGCGGGGCTCCCTAAGCACTTAGTGAGCGAATGAAGACGGAGGTGGAAACTGGAGCATCTGGACAGCTAGGTTTGTGCACTCAGTGAGCCAGAGAGGAGGCTGACAGCCATGAGTGGAACTCGTTACATGGTTTTCTCTTTTAGAACATGCTGAACAGACGATCTTTCAGTGACGTCTTACCAGAGTCGCCCAAGTCGGCACGGAAGAAAGAGGAGGCCCGCCAGGCCGAGTTCGTTAGAATAGGGCAGGTGGGTCGTATTCCGAGGCCTCTTTTGCAGGCCGTGTAGTTGTGGCCCCATCCGAACGGGCCAAGCCTTCTGTTCTCACTCTCCTGTGGGAAGCTGCGCTTCCTCTTAGGGGACTGTGGAAGCTGAGTGAGATTTCTGATGAGCCTGTAGGGGGGTCTGTGCGGGAGTGAGCGGACGCAAGGCGCTGTTCAGAGGGTGCTGCCCAAACCTAGAGGCCGCTGCGCCCGGCCGGGCCCCTCTGCTCAAGGGAGCGCATCCCTTTGCCTGCCTCCCCGGAGCTTTCAGAAGGAAGGGCGAGCAGCCAGCTTGGGAAAAGCACCTTGAACCCCCCCGGCAGGAGGAATCAGAGTGGCAGTGTCCTCACAGCAGACCTGAATTTCTGTCCTGCTTGGAAGCAGTCGCCATACTTAGGTGGCTGCCAATTGTCATCTCATCCCAGATCCTGGAGGAAATCACCTCCCTTTGGCCTTGCTTCCACGTGACATCAGTATTTCTCAGCTCTGGGAGGGGCACTGCTTTCTGCCTGATCCCATGTCACAACAGGGAGAAGGAGGCAAGCGGCCAGCCACAGAGAAGGTTCTGACCCAAAAGCAGAGAGCTAAGCAAGGTGACCAAGGAGGGCTTAGAGGCAAAGGCCACCACTTCCCAAAGCAGGTGCACTGTCAGGGCCCCCAGCGCTGGTCCTTGGTTACAGATCCTGACTCAACCTGCAGAGATGCCCATTCATCGAGTTTCAGGAAGGGCCTGGGAACTGTTTTCAGTACTCACGGTTTGGAAATCACTGTATTGATTATTGATTGGTGAAAAGGACAGACCAAATTTGGGGTCCTTGGGTTGGGACATTGTCATTAGGGCTTTGCCCTATCAGGCTGCCTGCAGTCCTTGTCGTCAATGACAGAGCAGTGTGGGAACCAGAAACTCAAGTCTGAAATTACTCCTGTTTTATTTTTTTTTAATTTTCAAATCCTAGTTGTTGACCCTGCTTGTTGTTACTGCCTGATAACAAACTTTTAAAAAAAATCTCTGTTTTTTTAAGGCACTAAAACTGAAATCCATTGTGAGAGTGGATGCCCCATCCAGCCTGGTGGCTTCAGGAATCTGTAAAAAAGAGGTGAGTTGCTGATACTTTCGAGCTTAACTGTGAATATCCTTTGTCCTCAGTGACATTATTCAGATTCTTGGAAAGAGGTTTGTGGGGCAGGAGGAAGAGCTTGTCTGTTGCAGAGTCCTCAGAGGAAGGCCCAGGTAGAACCGGGTAGCATTAGTGAGAGCCTCCCTGTGTCCACAGTATGCACATGCCTTTTCCCTCCCACAGGGAGCAGAGGTGCTGGACCAGGCCTGGGCAGGCAGACTGAGTCCAGAGTGCTCCTCAGGCCTTGTGTGCAGACTGATCGCCTGGACATCCTGACCAGACTCATGTTCTGACCCAGCAACTCTGGGGTGAGGTCAGGATTCTATGTTTGTAACAAGCGCTCCTGTGGTGCTGTGACCACGGGCACTCTACACAGCAAGGTCTGGGGCAGTGCTTCCCGGCTTCAGTGTATATGTGTGAGAATCACCCCCGGAGTTGCTGATGCAGGAGGTCTGGGTGGGCCCTGAGAATTTGCAACTCTGACATGTGCCCAGATGCTGATGCTATTGAGAAACTGCTGTTTACTTGACAGTCTGTTCAGCCAACCAAAAAAATTCTCATTTCCACATGGACAAAGAGCTAAGTGGTCATCAAGAACAGAAGAGAGAAAAATAAACAAGTTGCAGTAGGAACTTACTGTTTGCATGATTTTGTATTGTAAAGCAATACCCCACACCCTTAATTATGTCTATGTTCGGAATATGTAATAGTTAAATGGGACAAACTTATGACAGCACATCACTAGAGAAGTGTCTATTATAAAAGCAAAGGAATTGCAAGTATATTGGCCTTGGTGATACAGGTGTAAATGATTGTATCTGAAGTGCAGGCCCTACACACGGTAAAGTCTGTTTTCAGGAAAGTGGTGAAGCTCAAAACACAATGAATGCTAACCCACAACCCAGCTTTCACAACTGCAGAAATTCCCCGTCTGCATATTCATGGGAACAGTGGGTTTGCAGGGTTGCCAAGTGCTTCCTAAATGCCAAATTCCACTAAGATTCAGTGAGCTGCCCTGTAAGAAGTTCTGAGAAATGAAAGTCTGTGGAGTGGTAACTTGTTCACCAGTGAGCAGCAAAGAGTGAGCTTCCACCTTTTGGATCACTTCATAGCCTCCCTGTGGGCCACAGGCCATCCTGGGGAAGCGCTGCTCTAAAGGCCCTTATAGGTTTTTGAACAGGTGGCCCTGGAGAGGCCAGAGTCCCACGTGCTGCTCCCAGGGGTGTTCTCTTTCCAAGGAATGGGCTTCACCACCCTCCTAGGCATCCATCATTTCCTGAGCTGTGTTGATGTTCTTAGAGGGAGCAAGGTAAGAGTCCTGCATTTAGGGAGAAGGCCTGGAGACCACACTCAGCCCTGCAGAGTCCGTATGTGCCTGTCATGGCAGAAGGGAGTTCAGAGAAATGGCCCACTCTAGGCCTGAAGTGAAATTGAAACTAAGGATGAGAGAGAGTCACATGGTATGAATGTGTCACGTGCTGGGACATGAGTCGGCAGCACTTGCCATATTCCTGCAAACATGTTATTTTGTGTAGCCTTGAATGGGTCAATAAGCATTTTCCTGTCAAGATACTACCAACTTCTTGCGTTCTGTATGTTTTAATAATTTTGCTGAATCAGCAACACAGGAATCTAACATTTTTAAGAGAGTTATATAGGACTCCTTTTTATGATGAACTAAAGTGAATTCTCCAAAAAAAATAGGCATCAATTGGTCCCACTTCAAGGTGTTAAAGAAAAACATTTGCTAAAAAAAGTTACGAATGCTTCAATTGCCGCTAAAGAACATTTAGAATATACGGGCAGGTGGTGTCAGAAACACATGATGTCACTCTCCTGCTGCTTACATATTTGGAAGGACACTTCTTAAGAAAGGAAACTGAGTCCAGAGCCCGTGCAGAGCCCGTCGGGCCAGCAGGGTGGAGGGGTCTGTGTTGCTGTTTCAGGCCGTGTATTGTACAGTCCCACGGGTGGGCCGGGCCGTGTTCTTTCTGGTGCACTTACGTTCCGATGCTTGTGTCGCCTCGCAGCCTTGGGAGCCCCAGTGTTTCTGCAGTAATTTCCCCCACGAAGCCGTGTGTGCAGATCCCTGGGGCCAGGCCTTGCTGGTCTCCACTGATGCTGGCGTCTTGCTAGTGGATGGTTAGTGAGTAGCTGCTCCGTCAAATGTCTTGATTTGTGTGACTTGTAGTACTTCTAAGATGGGGAAATCACCAGGCAACTCCTTTTAGATAAATGCGTCCTCAGCAGTGAGGTTAGCAAAGTTTCATTTCCTTACAAGATTAACCCCTTGTTTTCAGGACAAGCAGAGGAACTATTTTCTGAACCAGCAAGCCGGAGGGTGAGTCGTGCATGATAGGGTCATCTCTTCCCTGAGCCTCTGAGTAGTCTGTGGATATCAAATGACCTACAAAAAGAATCTCCTTTTGGCTAATACTTACCATGATTCCAACATTTAACTTAAATCAACAAGGACATATTTTTATATAGAGCCACTTTCTCAGGGACATGCTCTTTCTCTCTCTCTCTCTCAAAGCTCTCTCTTTTTTTTAAGGTTTCTAATTCAAAAAGTACTTGGTGTCCAAAACCAACAATAAGAAGCTTAGATAATCCATTTTCGATAGATATAGAAACAAAAAGATTTTGACAGAAAGATTTCAACTCAATATAAAGTCAAACTTTCTGACAGCCACGTGGATCAACCTGCCTGGGGAGTAGTCAGCTCCCTGTCACCACAGAGCAGCCACCAATTAGGTGTGTCTTTCGAGAGGATGCTGTAGAGGGAGTTCAACTTCAGATGGGGATTTAATTTAGTTAGACTCCAGGCTTCAGAGAGAGCCATAGGCAGAGAGACAGCATCTTCCAAGGGTGCATCCTCCACTGCATGGAAGCAGACTGCCCAGGCTCTGGTTACCATAGTGACGTTTCATGAGAATCCGTAACACCACCACTGTGAGAGTGATGCGATGGCCTAAAACTGCAGCATCTTCCCACCCTTGGCCATGACCTTTACTCCCTCCTCAGACCCTGACCCAGCATCTGTGCTACGTGCCTCTGTGAAAACAAGACAGTGGGCTACGTTTCATAATGGACTTATTTCTGACCTCATCTGTTATTCTTGATATTTGTTTAAATTACATATCCATAAAATAATTTTTTAAATTTATATATATATGTAATTGTAAATATAATTTACTAAAAGGCAGACAATGTGAAATCCATAATTTAAGAATTTAATATTTAATTTTAGAAATTATAAAACAGAAAATCTTTGTGATCTAAAAAAAAAAGTAACGTCTCTGAGCTTCAAGCTTCTCTAAAGAGGAGGTGATTTTTTCAAGTGGCTGAAAAGTTATAATAAAAAATGAAATGAACAAAATGGGGGTGATGATCACAACTATAGTGAGGAAACTGTGGAGATGAAATTGTTACCAATGTTAAGGGCTTAAAGTGGTGTCTGGCACATAGTAGTAACTTATTGAATAGCAGCTATTATCTTCTCTATGTTCTTGGGAACTTGCTAAACCGTTACAAAGTCCATAGATTTTGCCAAAAGCACAACCAAATAAAAGAATTTATTTTTAAAGCACACACACACACACCTTAGAGGTTTAGTGGTCTCTTAGTTTTATAGATGAAGAAACTGAGGCCTAAAAAAACAATGTGATTTGCCCAAGATCACACAGCTGGTGAGTGACACACTGAACCTGAACCCAGAGGTGATTCCTCATCCAGCGTCTTTGCACTAAACCAGCCATATTTCATTAAAATTAAGCTCTATCTTAACACAGATTTCCAAAATATAGTCCTGGGTAAATAATTATGAAAATTTTTATGATTAAATTCTACCTGTTTCCCTTTGTAGGGAAGAAAGTATGCTTCCTAGTGACTACTCGTAAGGTTTGCCTGAAAACGGGAAAAAATTCTACTTGAGTTGCTTCTATTTTTTTGAAATGTGAAATTCAAGATTAGTAAGTCCCTTTCTGACATTTTACCCTTATGGACGCAAAATGTAATGGAGGTGTCAGATGTAAGGGTTTTTGTGATTTGCCAGAAAAGTCTTTGCTTCCCTGTTTGCTTTTGCTAAAAAGAGAATGCAGCCTTCCCTGTGTTCCTGTGCGCTGTTAGCCGCAATGCTCCTGTTATTTCTTGGTTTACCTTTTCCTTGTCTGTACTTAATTATATTACGAGTTGTTTCCCTGAGTGAATCTTTCCTCCATTTCAGGCTGAGTTTCACTCTATTCCATTAGCCATTGCTTAGTTTCATCGGACTTAATTTCATCAGACTTAACCCCTTGAGAGTCTGCTCCTTTCAACGTCATTATTAAAAAATCAAGATCTTTTGTATTCTAAGTGTAGCAAAACCCACTTTGAAGGGAAACTAAGTACTGATTAAACATGCTATCACCATTTGTTTTGGTTTTGCAGTAATAGAAAAGCCAACTCTGAAAGATTATTTCTTCATAATGAGATTATAAGAAGAACAAAATTGTTATGAAACTGTCGTGAAATCTACATGTCACTTACTCATACCCTTGCCTCCTTTCCCTTCCTGTGCTATATGTCAGCCCCCTGAGAGAGGTTTGATGGAGAATAAATGCTGCTGACTCTGTACAGAGTTGGGCATCTAAACAGCATCACCCTGTTGTAAATGTGAGATGAAGTGCTTCTGTCACTTGCTAATTCCTTACAGTGCTGTTGCTTCCCAGGCTGCACTATCCATCCATTGGGATGCTGGCTGCTTTTAGGCTGCAACACTAGCCAAGAGCACAGACTTTGTCTTTGCACAGACTGGGGTTCCACATGCTCAGGACATAGCCTTGGACAAGTTATTAGCACCTCTGAGCCTCAGGTTCCTCATCTGTTAAACGGGAATATTACAAGTTCCTACCTAACAAGATCTTTTGGACATTTAAATGAAGTGACATATGAAACACTTCGCATTAGGGCCTGGCATGTAGGAAGCCTTCAGTGTCTCTCAGCTGCCATTCACAAAATGTAATAATCCTAGCTACTTAGTCACATGTCATGACGGTTACCGAAGTGACCATCCCATACTTTAAAAAATAAAGTCTTCCCCAGCAGAAGCACAGAGAGCTGGAGAGTCGGTTCCTTTTGGGGTAGAAGAGGAAGGAAAGTGGTTTGATGGGCTCTCTAGGAATTACATTTGCCCCATCATTATGGGGAACTAGAGACAAGCTCTCTGTCTAGTAAAAGCTTCGTAAGCTTGTGCTCTGACCAGTCAGCGCCATCACTGGCCCACAGGAGTTGGAGATCCCTCCCCTGCGAGGTGGTCATTAATCCTGAAGACAACAGTCTCTGCCCTCTCTCGCACCATCCAGGGAGGGATGAACCCCTAACTAGATTTCTGGAAGAGTCAAGGTGCTCAGGGCCCCTTGCACCTAAATTATAACTAAACAAACTGAAACCCACAGCAGAGCCCTTGAAGATCTAAGTGTCTGACAAAGTAGATGAACAATAGCTGCCACTTCTGCCTAAATGTCTGTACCATCCTGGACCTCATCACCCTGCCCTGATTCTATGTCAGCCTCAGAACAGACCTTTTGCGGTGAACCAGCCTTATAATTCTAGCCCTCTCTGTCCTACAGTCCCCCGGGAGCAAAGTAATTGCTAGCGATTTAAGATCCCAGGAAGTAAGCTTGAAAGCAAATCCTATATATAATTACAATGCCTTTAATCATCCATTTACCTGGCATCTTCCCGAGCATTTCCATGGAAATTTGTTTTTTCCTGTTATTTGGGCAGTGTAATTGATAATTTCTCTCTTACTTTTGTCTAAAAAGGAGATTTCATATTCTTATAAAGAGAAATATTGAAATTTTATAGGTAAGCCACTATTGATAGACAGGGCATGTTGGAATAGGCTGTTCGTATTTATTTTAAATACAAAAGGAAATTTTAATTTTGCTTTCTTGAGAAATACACAAAATAACCTAAGATATGATACCTAAAAATCAGAAACTACTTAAGAGAAATGACTGAGCTTTTGTGCGTTTTTTTTAAACTGGGTTTTCAGTCCTTTGTACAAACCCCAGGAAAACTGGGATTGAAGAAGCTGCTCTTTCTCTGATGAATACTGAGGAAACAAATCTAGTCCACTGGCCTATTCAGGGTTTTGAATGACTCTAGGAAGAAAACATCAGTCCCTCTCCCCGAGCTGAGAGGAGATTAGTCTTGAACTTATTGCACAGCCCCCATGGGAGCTCTAGAAGCTTACCCCCTTCCTTGCCTGCAGAGAACTGACATCCAAAACAGCCCACAGGCACATTCTCTAGATTCTGGAAAGCATGGTGGGTTGCAGTGTTGGGTAACCATGTTTCCTTTTCCAGGTGACCTCCCGGCAGTGCCAGTGTTTGACAGGACTATGCCCGTGAAGCAGATGCACGTGCTCGAGGCTCTGGACCTCCTGATTCTCCGAGCGGACAGAGGTGCTGCTCCCCTCCAGGCGGTGCTCCCTTCTGGGTGCTGTTCTCCAGGAGGAAGGGGAGCATGAAGCCCTGTGTGGCCAGCGCCGAGGCTCACAGGGCCTGACTGCATAGGTCATGCCAACTGTTTCTGCTCCTGGTGCCCAGTGCTCAGGGTTCCTGGGTGGCCTGTTGGTTCTCTGGGGAGGGGGGGGACAGTGAGGAGAGAAGGT